TATCTCCTACAGTGTTGTGGGCACTGTGGAAACATCTACAATAAGCAGATGGGAAGACCAATTTCAAAGCCATGTCAGTGCCCGATCAGCACTGCACATGTTCAACTTTCAACAGAGATGAGATAGAGGCAAGATGGCACATTTGTTAGCTACTTCCATCAGTGGCTCTTTAAAAAATAACAGGTGTTTACTGTAATTTTGAATGTTTTGATCATGATTTGTCTTCATTTCTAGGAAATGAAAAAATGGGCCAAGGTCGGAATTTGATTTTGAAATTGAATGTGTCAGATTTGTGTGACAATTAAGTTGCTGATTTCTTTGTGATTTACACTTAATAAACTTGCAGCAAATACACATAGGTTATGGTAGTATCTGATTAAATGTAATGGTTTTTAACAACAACAACAACAAGTATTAAAAATAAAGCACACAGTGTATCTCACTGTTTGTGTGTACTGGGAGAGGAATGGGAACATTTCAGAACCTGCCAAAGAATCATCTGGTTTATGTCTCTTTGGTAAAACTTTCACATGGCTCCATTTCACCATTGAACTGTTAGTGCTGTTGTTTACTTCCACTTGCTTCCTCATTCTTCTTGCCTTAAAAATATATAAGCAGTCTGATGCAGGCATGTTTTTGAAGGAGGCAGAAGTGGAGGGATTGGCTCAAGGGTACCACAGACCAATAAGCCAGTCATCAACAACGGAACAACAGTTGGGACATTGCCTTGTAGTTAGGGTAAGGTTTGGAGTGCAGAGGTCCCACGCATCCCCATAGAATTTACATAGATTTTAGGGACATCTCTGGAGGACAGAATTACAGAATTTTCTCTGAAAAAGGAAACTAATTTCCATTTTAATTAACACGGAGAACTTAAAGTGGGACCAGGATCAATACATGTAATTTACTACCTAGATTAGATTATGATTAGATTAAGAACCCTCTATGAAAATGGTTAAGAATGTCTGCATCATTATCATTAGAACTCATCCCAATTACCCCTTTTCCCCTAAATTTGCTCTGGTTCTTGAACTGGTTTCATTCAGTTTTTTTGGAACCTTGGTATTTTGTAGCAAACCAGCCTGTGTTTCCAGTAGTTTTGACAGGAACCACTGTAATAAAGTGGTGTTGGACAATGCACAACGTAAGTACTCAGTAGTAGCAAGATGGTGGACAGCATTAATTACCTGTGATTTGTTTTCATCCAGAAAACAAGCATTGACCAATTACGACAAGAAAAGAAGACATAAAAGATTACTACATTCAAGACTTCATCCTCTCTTTTCCAAGCTGTATAAAACACCCGCTGATGTCACGATTCACACTTCAGGTTGAGGAAAACCTGATATATTTTGATTCTAGCTGGGACCCAACTTTTTGGGGTTTCGAACAAATAAATTTTTGGTGAAAATCCTTCAAATGGTTCAAAATTAGCTGCAGGAACCATAACAAAACCCATTCCATGTTGGTGGAAAAGGGGGGAAATGTGCTAGAACACTACTGGGGTGTGTGGATTTGATCCCATTTTGATTGCAGTGGGCATTTGTGTGTCCATTAACACATGCATCACATGACTTCATCTGTTACCCAGAGAAATTATCCAGATACAGTTAGACACAGCATTCCAGGTGGAAATGGAATCCGTGCCACTGAGCTCTGAAGCTGTTCGTGAGGTTCATGGTGGTCCAACACCTTACTTAAACACTTTATGTTGGGTTTTCCAGTATCTTGTCATCCATACGTAAAATATATTGAGCATGTGAGTGATTGTGCAACTGAGTTATTGAGTGATGGTGCTGAAGGCTGTGGCCACCTGAGTCAGTCAATACCCTGGGCTGTGGTGGTGGTGGGGTGGAGGAGGACATACATTGTCTCACACTTATAGAAACAGAGTAATAGTCTTATATGTCTTCTTTTCTTGTAGTACTTGGTCCATGCCTGTTATTTTAGGATGAAAACAAATATGAAACAAAACAAAAGCTCACAGGTAATCAATAATGTCTGCAATCTTGCCAGTACTGAGTACTTCCATTGCATGTCCAACACCTTCTGTTGATGACACATCCTAAAGGATGTGTATGGTGTGCTACATAGTATGGTTTGCCACATTGCACCAAGGTTCCAAGAGACCTGAATGGAACCAGTTCAAGAAGCACAGCTAATTTGATGGAAAAGGGTAATTGGCACGAGTTCCTAGCAAGGTATAAATGACACACATTCTTAACCATTTTCATAGAGGGTTCTTAATCTAATCTTAATCTAATCTAGTCAGTAAATTACATGTATTGATCCTGGTCCCAATTTTAGTGTTCAGTGTTCATTAAAATGGAAATTGGTTTTCATTTTTCAGAGAATATTCTGTAATTCTGTCCTCTAGAGATACCCCCAAAATCTGTGAAAATTTTATAAAGACCCCTATGACCTCTGCACTCTAACCCTTACCCTAACTGCAAGGCAACATCCCAACTGTTGTTCTCTTATTGATGACTGGCTTATTGGTCTGTGGTACCATTAAGCCAATTTCCTCCACCTCTGCCTTGTTCAACAACACACATACATCAGACTGCTTATGTATGTAAGGCAAGAAGAATGGGGAAGCAAGTGGAAGTAAACAACAGCACTAACAGTTCAATGGTGAAATGGAGCCATGGGAAATTTTTACCGAAGAGACATAAACCAGTTGTAGGGCCCTATGATTTCTGCGATCACGGAATCGCGGACGAAATCGCAGAATTGACCAATAAACACAGAATTTACTATTAACTCGCGGAAAGTGAAATAATTTCACCAAAATACTGTTTTTGTGGGGAAGAGGAATGGGGAAATTTACCCCGGGGGCCCGCTAATGCATTGCACACCCAGTAACGTTATGCCACAGCCCCTCCCCTTCCAAAACAATTCAGCATGTCGAAGCGGCCGCTGCAATCTCCGTCTGCTAAAAACACTAAGGAACTCCATGCTAACGCCAAAATTTAGAGCTGAACAGTTCCCAAATGACTACTACGTGTCAGGCCATATGTTATTGTGTAAATTATGTCAACATACTGTTGACTGGACCCTTAAAAATACGTGCACTGACCACTTTCTGTCCAAAACTCGTGAAAAACAAGAAAAAGTACCAGCAGGATGCTAACAAGCAGGTAACCATGAGCCTACAGACAGTTTGTTGAGGATTTTGTGGCTGTGTGTGCTGAAGCCGACATACCATTAGAAAAGATGGCAAAACTCCGTCCGTTTGTAATGAAGCACTGCAAACAGGGAGGAGCACTACCTGAAAATGTCAGCAGCCTTCGCCAAATTCACCTTCCTCAAGTGTTTGAGCAACACATCTCCTGTGTGCTCCAGAAGATCCATGGGAAAAAGTTTTCCGTTGTCATGGATGAGACAACTGATGCCAGGGACTGCAGCATCCTAAACATTGTCATTGGTAAGCTGACGTTAACTGAGCAGCCTAGCTTTCACTCTTTATTTTACAATCTGCTAGTGAATTGTGTGCATGCAAAGTATGACATAACGACACCCCCTACTGATTAATAGGTCAAAACAAAATTGTATACCTGTCAATTTGTTGTTTTGAATCATTACGTTTTTAACTTTTACTGCAATATGTATATAACATCGTAATGGGATAACTAAAATAAAGTTTATCCAAAATAAATAAAGATTAATAGCTGTGATGCATCAGACTCAAAGAAATACTGATTACAGAGGGGAAACTAAAATTATTAATATTTTAATTAAAAAGGATTAGAATAACACGTGACCCCACCCACTGTCTGCCTTCTGACTGTAGATTAGAAATATACAGTAAAATAATAATAATACATTTTCTTTCATCACAGGAATTGAAAACCAATATTTCCTGGTGGATGTCGTCTTCATGGATAGATGCAACTATTCAACGGTTTTCCAAGCCGTACTAGCCTCCTTCCACAACAGCAATTTGGACCTGAATGATGTCTGGGCAGTGGTCACAGATATGCTGCCTACTGTATGAACATTTATGCTTGTGCGGTGTGGTGGTGTGTCTGTGTCACTCTGCAGTTACACCTTCAAAGTGTACTGTGTGCAATTTTGTGTTTAAATAAATGCAAAGTTATGTCTATTTGTGTATTTTATTCATTAGCATTAAAAACACACTCATTTGGTGGATAAATAAGAGTAAACGGTCAAAAATAGAAGTCCAAAAAATGTAAAAACGGGAAAAAACAGAATTTGGGGATTTATGGGGAATAAAACAGAATTGCTCACATACTTTAAGCAGCCCTGTCTATATAAAGAGATTTTACAGAACAGATATGAACACATGGTATTATTGTGCTTTCCAAATGCCATAAAACTTAAATTATTCAGATGTTTGTAGTAGAACCATGTACTGAACCATACATTATACTGAAGCAGAACCATATACTTAAAGATATACTATGCAGGATTTTCCTAGAAACAAACAAACAAAATCATTATATGCACTGTGTAGACGTCTACAGAAGTAGGTTGGCTCTGGGGTTGGCTTTACTTTGGCTTTTGCTGGTAAGCATGTTTACAACCAGTAACCGACAATCCTGCATAATATGCCTTTAACCCAAAACAGCAGGTATTATTCAGTTTAAGTTTCAATTCATCCTTCAAAAATTCTGCATTTTATTTTATCTGCATTTCATTGAAAAATACTGACACAAAATAAGATATTTAATTAAAAATAAAAAATAAAAAGTGATATATAAAAAATAAATAATACAACTCAAAATCAGTCAAGAAGGAACAAAAACTAAAATTCAAATCTTTTTTAGTTTTGACAATTAGCACAAGAACTGCAGGCAAGCCCATAGGGTATGCACTGTTTCTCTTCAGTGCTTTCAGTTCATCCTCCCAACCCAAATTTCGCATTTCATGAAAAGAAAAAAATGCATTTCATTAAAAAAATTGGCCCAAAACAAAATAAAAGATGGAATTAAAACCAGATTAATACAAATCAAACTCAGTCAGGAGGGAACAAAACCTAAAATTCAAATACATTTTTTATTCTTTTTAGTTTTGTCCACAATAACAGGCAGGACCACAGAGGCTGTGCACTTCCAGCACCATGGAGAAGCACCTGGCTGAAACACAAGAAAAGCACCAGCTTAGTATGAAAATCTAACACCACACTGGAGGCCCACAGTATTCTCTCCTAGTAGATTCCAAACAAAGTTTATCATACCTTAGATGTTCTTCTTGACTTTATACTGTTTGTTCAAGTGTGCCATATAACTGTATTTGAAGTTGTTCTTTACTTTAATTTTACACTTGATGTGAAATTGATGGTTCTCTGTGGTTCTCGCTGTCGTTTTGTAGTGCCATGATTGGAAGCATCTGAACCAACAAAAAAATGTGTTTATGTTTTTGTCACTTGGAGTGGAACCACTGATAGTTTTTTATTTTTTAAATGTTTATCCAACAGTTCTCTACAGAGGCAGATGCAAGGACATCTGTAACAAAAGACGCTGCTTTTGCATGACCAAATGACTTTTTTTAATTTATTTGTTTTATTGTTACCCTTTCACCACTGGCTCGTTAAGTATTTAATTACTTTATGTTTTGCTAAATAAAGTATTAAATCTCTTTAAGCTCAAATCTGTTATCATATGATGAAAGAGACATCTCCATGTAAATACACTGTCTAGGGTAAGCTATGACTCTCACTTTCACAAATTATTAATTAGAGGCTGATGGGAATACTCACAGGTTTCTTTCTTAATAAAATGCAAATGAAATATATCAATTAGGCTACCTTATTAATGTAAACATCATGAAATGACACAAACACAGTATATTGCCTTTTTTGTTAGAGATGTATTAACATATTTCAAATGCACAAAAACACAGAAACTCTTTAATGAAAATAAAAGAAAATACCCCAAGTGGTCTTTAGTCTGTTCAAACTTTTTGGGTGCACTCTTTGTTTGGATAATTGGTTGTTGTTGTTTTTTTTTTCAGCAAGCTTGCATTTCGTTTTAAAATGGAGCTCATGAAGAAACAGGGCAACAGTACCTCCGTATGGCCAATGGGAATAACTCCTACCGCGAGGAAAATCCCTTGTCTCTCTCTGACTGTTGCGGCACGGCAGTGATGAGCAGTGCAGTCCTCACCCTCACCCAGCAGCAAGAGAAAGTCCATCCACGACACCCGACACACACTTGCGATGTCCACTGAAGCTCCGCAGGTCCTGCGATCTCCTACGACATACATACATACAGAGGAAAACGCGAGTAGAGACTCTCCCTCAATGGCGGTGGCTAAGCTAACTTGGCTAACTCATATGCAGCGAAGAAACCACACTTGGTCTTGCGGCAAACAGTCTAACTCACTCACTTGAGCAAAGTATCTGGCAACTGTTCTCAGTCCAACCTTAGGAAATAAAAGCGATAAACATAACATAGTCTGTATTCAGTCTCACGTGGCCCTGAATAACTGCGCCACGCCATTGACCTCTCTGCTCATCAGCAGCGCGCTTCCTTCTTCTTCCCTTTTTCCGCAGGTGAACCGGAAATACCACTTTCTCTGGGGTCATTACTCCTCAAACATAACCAAAATGACCTTTTAACCTTTGAAAACATGGAACAAACAATGAAATATATTTTAAGGCACATATTTTTAACTATAACTTATTAATGCATTTTAACTTAAACTGAATATTAATCAGGCATCCTATTAATAACTCGAAATAATTACACCTTTTTAAGGACAGAAAGAAAGGAAAATATAACTGATATCTATCAGGTTATTACATTATTATTTGCAGTCTCTGAGTCTAAAAAATGACCAGTGCTAGCTCAGTACCACAGTGAGCTGTATGACTGGGATGACTGCACGGAGTACTAAGCCCTAGTTATTTCAGCTCCTGTTACACATCTGCCTGGTAGTCATTTTTGGGTTAAGAAGTCCATTGTGTAGGATTTTGGGGAATATATTGGCAGACATTTCTTCAGTGTATAATCACCTGCAAATAAGAATTGTTGCGTTTTCTTTACCTTAAAATGAGCCGTTTATATCTACATAGGAAGCAGGTCTGTATTTATGGCAACTTCCATGTTGTACTGCCATGTTTCAACAGTAGCCCAGAAAGAACAAACGAAACACTGGCTCCACATAGGAGTTACACTGATTTGTACATGAAACTTCTTTATTCAATGTTTCTAGTGGTTTAAATCACCTGGTCCGTTTGTTTTGGGATGGAAGAGACGCATGTGGATAATTTGGCTTCCGCCTCAACATCTGGATTTTATGTTATTGGAGAAAAAAAGGTGACCACATATTAGCATGTGTTGGATAGGCCACCTACAGCAACATGCCAAACTGCATTGGAAATACATAGATTTGTAGCTAATGTGAAAGTGCTTTTATCATTGCTATTACTGGTTTAAATTGCCTGGCCTGTTTGTTCTGGAGATGAAGAGACCTCTGTGGGTTATGCAGCTCCCAATAACAACCTCACCCCCCGCCTCACACACATGTCATTCCCAGCTCCAAACTACGGCTTCTTAAGTAAATGAAACACAGCATAATTGCTGTGTGTGTTCAGTTTTTACACATCCTTAAATTGTGTACAAATCATATTAAATTTCATGAGATCAAGACTCAAAACAATCAGATTCAGCTGTTTTGATCTGGATCAAAAGTAATCCAGGCCAAGGCCAGGGGAGCTTTTCTGATGTCTCCCAATAGCTCTATCATTTGATAAAATAGACATCTTCTATTGCAAGCACAATTTCAGTTTGTTTGTTTTTTTTCCTAGTATTTTTTTTTTCATTCCTCATCATAGATATTTCAGACCAACTTTACTGGACCTATTCCCACTATATACACAACATCCAATTTGTATTTATGGTTTATTCAAGAAATATCATGCAATCTTGCTTGCATATTATATGAATTCATGTGCATGGTTAGACACACACATTATATATACATATATATAAGAGAGAGAGTTAAATAGAGATGAATACATATATATGAGGAGTATAAATAGTAAAACAGATAAGTAGTTTGATGCAAGCAAAAATGAAACAGATTTGACAGTGTCCATAAATACAGGTATTTTTACATTAACATATACAGATACTGATAGCAGCTTTGCGTTTAACCTTTAACATGATGCTGATTTGTCAAAAATAAATAGATGTGACAGACTTGCTGGAGAGTTTTGCATAATTGAAGGTCAGTTGCGTTATGCACTTCCAAACAGATTTTTTTTCTTACAGTACACATAGAAAAGCCACCCTGCTGACACCTTCAAGGTCAAGCTCTTTATTTATCAGATGCACTACATTACAGAGAAGCAGTAGTTAGAAATGAAAATCTCAAGTTTCTGGCTCCCTCTAACAATGCTAATTAATTTAGAAAAAAAAAAGTCATGCAAGTAAAAACAAAATGACAAGTACAAATGAATGTATAAAGAGATGTAAAAAATGTGTATGCATAATGGCAAGTAAATATAAAGGAAAAAAGAGAAAACAAGAGTGAGAAAAAAAACTGTCTTTTATATATATATAGATATATAGCCTATAGATGTGTGTGTGTGTGTGTGTGTGTAACTATAGTAACAGATATGGTTGGAACCCAAGCCCCAGCCACATGGCAAATCACTCCACAGCTTAGGAAAACACAGACAGCTGAGCAGGTAAACGCACATTGTATAGTAGTCAGGGAAAAACTCACAGCCAAAGGGGAACAGGTGAACAGACACCAGGAACGCAGAAGCAGAGCTCATGATCAGGTACAGAAGGCTGAGGTGTTTACTGGGAGGCAGGCAAAGCAGGAGAGTCAGTGACAGGCGGGGTCGGTAACAAGGAATCAGTCTAGGAGTGAACGCTGGAGAGTCTTGCACAGGAATGACAAAGAACATGCTGGCAATGATAGTCTGTGCAACTGAGTTCAAATAAACACAAGAAGTTTGTGCTCTAGAGAAAGTATCAACACTCAGTGAAAAACCTAAGCCCTATGGTAAGCTAATATGGCAAGGCTTAACTATACAAACCAATGAGCAGTGATAACTAGCATGTCTTTGGGGTCATCGGGTGGGAACCTCCTTTCACCAGTGTTTCGTCTAGTTGGTCCCACGACACCTCCAGGAGGCTAGACAGTGATCTCTAGCGTCCCAGAGACACTCCCCTAATGCCAGGTCTCACTGCTCCCCTCCCTGCACCAACCCAATAATCTCCTTTACCTTACTTACACATGGCTTTCTCAGCCCAAACAGCACTGCCACCTTCAACCAAACCCAGGCTCCGTACATGCGAGCTCTAGGTAGAAGCAGTGCTGATACTACCTTTCCTAGCACATTCACCACACTCTATTTCACACGCTACATAGCATAACTACAATATAAGCTAAAGTTAAAGGAGCTAAATAAACTTACAGGATCAGCAAACACACTCACCTTGCCGCATGGCCTCAAACAAAATGGATTCAAATAGGCCACTCCCACACTTAAATAACCTTCCTCTTCCTGGACTTCCTCCTTACTTACACATGGCTTTCTCAGCCCAAACAGCACTGCCACCTTCAACCAAACCCAGGCTCCGTACATGCGAGCTCTAGGTAGAAGCAGTGCTGATACTACCTTTCCTAGCACATTCACCATACTCTATTTCACACGCTACATAGCATAACTACAATATAAGCTAAAGTTAAAGGAGCTAAATAAACTTACAGGATCAGCAAACACACTCACCTTGCCGCATGGCCTCAAACAAAATGGATTCAAATAGGCCACTCCCACACTTAAATAACCTTCCTCTTCCTGGACTTCCTCCTTACTTACACATGGCTTTCTCAGCCCAAACAGCACTGCCACCTTCAACCAAACCCAGGCTCCGTACATGCGAGCTCTAGGTAGAAGCAGGGCTGATACTACCTTTCCTAGCACATTCACCATACTCTATTTCACACGCTACATAGCATAACTACAATATAAGCTAAAGTTAAAGGAGCTAAATAAACTTACAGGATCAGCAAACACACTCACCTTGCCGCATGGCCTCAAACAAAATGGATTCAAATAGGCCACTCCCACACTTAAATAACCTTCCTCTTCCTGGACTTCCTCCTTACTTACACATGGCTTTCTCAGCCCAAACAGCACTGCCATCTTCAACCAAACCCAGGCTCCGTACATGCGAGCTCCAGGTAGAAACAGGGCTGATACTACCTTTCCTAGCACATTCACCATACTCTATTTCACACGCTACATAGCATAACTACAATATAAGCTAAAGTTAAAGGAGCTAAATGAACTTACAGGATCAGCAAGCACACTCACCTTGCCGCATGGCCTCAAACAAAATGGATTCAAATAGGCCACTCCCACACTTAAATAACCTTCCTCTTCCTGGACTTCCTCCTTACTTACACATGGCTTTCTCAGCCCAAACAGCACTGCCATCTTCAACCAAACCCAGGCTCCGTACATGCGAGCTCCAGGTAGAAACAGGGCTGATACTACCTTTCCTAGCACATTCACCATACTCTATTTCACACGCTACATAGCATAACTACAATATAAGCTAAAGTTAAAGGAGCTAAATGAACTTACAGGATCAGCAAGCACACTCACCTTGCCGCATGGCCTCAAACAAAATGGATTCAAATAGGCCACTCCCACACTTAAATACTTCCTCTTCCTGGATTTCCTCCTGAGAGGAAGTGGATCTCTCCACCTGATCTCAAGGAGTTATGTGCCCTGTTTAGTAGTTCCCCCTGCTGGCCCCCAACTGACATTACTTCTTCTCTTATAGATAAACTGGCTACATTTAATTGCTTCATCTGACATTTCCCTCACTGTCTTCCTCAAACTCTGTCCCCGCACTCCGAGTTCCCCCAGGAGCGAGACAGCTGATCTTGCTATGAATCCCCTACACCCCACTTCCACTGGACAAATCCTAGTCTTCCATCCTCGCTGCTCAGCTTCTGCTCCTAAGTCTGCATATCTAAGCTTTTTTCTTTCATAGGCTTCTTCCACTGAGTCTTCCCAAGGAACTGTCAGCTCAATGAAATAAACTATCCGTTGACTCACTGACCACAACACTAAGTCAGGCCTCTGCCTGGTACAGACTATTTCCTGAGGAACAACAAGCTTTCCCCCTAAATCTACTTGCATTTCCCAATCACAAGCACCTTCTAGGCGGCCACACCCTTGCCTCCTCACTAACTTATCCCTTCTGTATTTCTCTCCCTCACGGACAAACTGAATTACTAAGCCCCTATCCTTAACACCTTCTGAATTCACCTGTCTTCGTTTCCCTTCGATGCCTGCAGCTAAACATTTCAACACCTGATTATGTCGCCATGTATATCGGCCTTGTGACAAGCTAACTTTACAGCCTGACAAAATATGCTTTAAAGTTGCGGTACGTGAACACAATGGGCATGATGGGTCCTCATTTACCCACAGTTTTAGGTTCTGGGGGGTTGGTAACACATCGTATGTAGCCCCTACCAGGAATCTAATACGATTCTCCTCCATACTCCACAGGTCCCTCCAACTAAGCTTCCTCTTCTCTACACTTTCCCAATTCAACCACTGTCCCTGTTTAGCCTGGGCCACTACCTTTGCACCCCTTACTATCTCTTCCTGTCTGCGTATCTGTTCTACAACCAGCTTTCTTTTATCTTTGAGGCCTGCTGTATTCCATACCGGTTTACCTGAGCCAAGCCCCAGGCCTCCCCGGCCAAACTGAACATTACCTACAATCTCTGCATGTCTAAGAGCTGCCTCTGCCTCCTGAACTGCCGATCTTGGGTTCCACTTCCTCCCCTTGGTTGGATTTGGAACCACACTCCTAACTACCACGTCCTTACTCCCAGATAACAAGAGCTCTGTCCTGACCTTGGTACATTTAAATTCCTCTGTTAAACTAGATACTGGCAGCTGAAGTATCCCTTTTCCATACAATGCAACACTACTTAGGCACCTAGGAGCGCCCAACCACTTCCTAATGTAGGAGCTAACCGACCTTTCCATTCTCTCCACAACAGATATTGGAATTTCATAAACTGACAATGGCCACATTAACCTAGGATATAGCCCAAATTGCAAACACCACAACTTCAACTTTCCTGGAAGTTCTGATTTATCTATTCTATCCAATCCTTCAGCCACATCTTTTCTAAATTTCACCACCTGTTCCTTATCATTCAACTCTACATTGTACCACCTACCTAAGCTCTTTACTGACTTTTCCCTAATTGTTGGGATGTCCTCATCATCTATGACAAACTTCCTATCACTTAACTTCCCTCTACATATCGAGATGCTTCTAGATTTACTAGGCTTGATTTTCATGCTGGCCCACTTGAGGTTCTTATTTACCTTCTCTAGTAGCCTCTTTGTACATGGCATTGTTGTGGTCACCAGTGTCATGTCATCCATGTAAGCCCTAACTGGTGGAAGATGCAACCCATTCTGCCGTCTCTCCCCACCTACCACCCACTTAGAAGCCCTGATGATTACTTCCATTGCCATAGTAAATGCTAATGGAGAAATTGTACACCCTGCCATGATGCCTATTTCTAGCCTCTGCCAACCTGTTGTGAAACCTGCTGTACTTAGACACAACCTAATATCCTGAAAATATGCTTTCACTAAGTTAACAACTACCTGTGGCACTCTGAAGTAGTCAAACGCACTCCAAATGAGGCTGTGCGGTACTGAACCAAACGCATTTGCAAGATCTAAAAATATTACATGTAGGTCCCTTTTGTTAATCTTCGCTGCCTGAATCTGGTGCCAGATCATGCTAGTATGCTCTAAACACCCTGAAAAACCTGGTATTCCTGCCTTCTGCACCATGGTATCTATTAAGCTATTCCTTTCTAAGTAGCTAGCTAGTCTCTGCGCTACTACACTAAAGAAAATCTTCCCCTCCACATTCAAGAGAGAAATCATCCGGAACTGGCTAAGGTCCACAGACTCCTTCTCCTTAGGAATGAGGACACCCCCTGCCCTACGCCATGCTCTTGGTATAATTTGTTTTTCCCAAACTATTCTTAGCTGTTTCCACAAAAATTTAAGGGTATCAGGCGCACTTTTATAAACCCGGTAGGGGACTCCATTAGGCCCTGGGGCCGAAGAAGCCTTTGCACGCCTGACCACCTCCTGAACTTCCTTCCACCTAGGTGGCCTGACATCCATCTCATGCTCTATCCCTCCTAATGGAGGGATATCAGGTGGGAAACCTACTATCCTATTCTTCTCCAAATCTGAATACGTGTTTCTCAAATATTCTTCAACCTCTAACCTTTCTGCTTTAAGCTGCCCTCCCTTTTCCTGGCTGAACAATCCTTTAACAAACTTAAAAGGGTCCCTGAAAAAACCTGTCCTTACATGTTCCTTCTTCCTCCTCTTTTTCCTGAGATGCTCTGCCCTTCTAAGAACTGCTAGCCTGCTTCTCAACTCCTCTTGCAACACCTTAATTCCCTCCCTTTCTTCTTCTGTAGCCTTTCTCCACACATTTCTTAACTGTCTCCTTTCCTTGACTAGCTCCTCTAATTCTCTTTGCCGCCTAGATTTACCTGACTGTACAATCTCACTCCTCTTTCTCTCATGCAACCCAAACCTCTCTACACCATATGAGTAAATTATATATCTTATCTATAAATAGTGGCAGAGTGTAATGAGGCACAGGTGAACAGAGTTGATCTGATGAGGTGGGTGTGGTGGACTACAGAGTATTTGTCCAAAATACTACAAACATCCCACCTTGTGCATTTGTGCGTTGCAATTTCATTAGGTTATTTTTTTCATTTTTTTTTCCTTTACGACATTGTAAACTGTTGCTTTATAACTGTCCACATTTCCGGATGGTTCTGGTAATCC